GGAGGGGGGGGGGGGGTGGGGGGGGGGGGGGGCGGGGGGGGGGGGGGGGGGGGCAAAAGGGGGTGTTGCCCCAGGCCCCATATTTCCAAAGGGGGCTCCTGGAGGAAATTAAAAACGTTTTAAGTATTTGCATAAAGTAGCAAATGTTACAAATAAAAGTGTGCACCACCAGCGCTCGACTGTGTGGCTCCTCTAGGCTACTTGCACCACCAGATAAAATGTCTTGGGTGGGGGAGGGGGAGGGAGGAGGGGAGGCTAAGCCAAGTCAAGAATCCACTTGCCTCCGGCTTCGCAGCTTCTTAATTTGACCCTGCAGATCCCGTATTCAGTCCGTATAGTATACCCAGGGCCAGGTTACCGAATGTATGAAAGAAGCAAACTCCTAGAAGAGCCTCGTTTGAGAGGCCGCCAAGCCACTTGATACGATGAAACAGGAGTAAATGTTCATCAATATTATTATTGTGGGTCCTGCGTTCTGCCTCAAACTTTAACCCGTTGAGGAGTGTGCTTCAGTGTTCGGTGGGAGTGGTGCCTTATTGCTCTTTCCGAGGAAGGTTACTCGAATTCCCTGATCAGAGACAGGTGCAAGGAGAAAGGTTATGTGGGCAGGTATAAAATATCAATATCGACAAGCAATATCAATCCTTGAAGACAGAGAAATTTATAAGCGAAGTTTGAGACGATATATTACGATCGCACACCTTAACAGGTAAATCTGGCCCTGGGTTTTAGTAGCTGAGCCCAAGCATCCTCTGAGATGAGGATTAGCGCGAAGGTGTCATTTCTTCGGCAGGGCATGACAAAGTTGGGTGAGGATGATTCCAAACTTTGAGGCGACAAAATTAACATAACATCCCTCGATGATGCTTATGCAAGGAGAGTCTGCACACTCTTAATAATTCTATGGGTGCCTCTTAGGAAGGGAATGAACTACGTGCAGGCGAGCATACATCTCAAAGTGCATGCATATTCTCTACTCATCCATATTATTTCCTGTGTATCTTTACGTACAGTATATGCTTAGGTTTGACGTAAACACATAGCGGCCGGCTCCTACTTTTCCAACTCTGTCGGACTCCACTAGTCATGGGTTCACTCGAACCGGCGCGAAGTTCCTTGGGTCTACGTGAGGCCGAACGGCCCTGAGCAATCTGTGGAAGCCAGGATATCACACTGCGCTGCAACGTGTAAGTGCACGTCGTGTGTACGTACCTGCTTCGAATGAGTCGAAGGAGCTCGATGCGAGGTCGATCGTCAAACTCCTTTGCTTTCCAGAGCTTTATCGCTATGAGGACGAGGCTATCTTCGCAGTGGCGTAGCGTGGTTGGCATGGGCCCGCTGTCCAGTTTCTTACTATTGAACCGTGGGAGTCTTTTTTTTAAATAGATTTTCTCTGGCAGCATATAAATCGTCGTCGGTAGCTGAAGTCAGTGGAAGGTAGCGGCGGATTCAAAAAAATTTCATAGCCCCCCCATTTACCACCACCCTCTGTCCTAACCTCTTATTCATTTTTCGTCTGGAGTAAAAACCCTGTATATCTATTTCACAGGAGCTAATAAACATTACCTTATGTGCTTTCTACATTTAAAAAATAGAATGCGAACTTGGTCAGAGGAGAAGCAGTCACCCCCCCTGCTACTTTACGCAAATACTTAACGTGTTCAATTTCCTTCGAGGGCCCCCTTTGCCCTCGAGGTGCAAGAAGGTTTTGGAGAAGATCGCCTCTCGGGTTCTAGTCACTCTGGGAGGCCGAGTTCGACGCGATGCTTTCTTTCCTCCCAAAGGGCATTTCCAACTCAATATTTCCTATGGGTCATTTCACGTCACATCAAAACATCATGGAAGGCGTCTCTCTGACTTAATGAAATTAGGCTAGACTCTCTGCTCCATTGAGAAGCTGTGACTCGACTTCTTTTGCCTTTCATAACTAACTTCTTTAAATAAGAGATAATGAAATCTGTCTGTATGGTGACCTGGTAGCACCCTTATTATTATTTGTATACCTTCTCTCAAAATTGAGACTAATTACACATCGCATCAAAGCTTGGCATCTGTCTACGTCTTTGGAAAATTTCATCTAAATTACCTCGTAGTCGCGAGCATCACGACTTGGCTGAAAAGCTCTCTTATGAAACCAGTTCGTGCAAATGTGCCGATGAACTTCTGCCCTAAATTCGCGTAGGTCTCGAGGATCGTACCGTTTTGTACTAGAAAGATCGATGTCGTGGTCAAGGGCCGAAGAAAAACTCCAATGGGAAGTTCATCTCCGACTCCATTTTTCCGATCCCCTTCCCAGTTCAGTCTGAATATTTCCTCATCGTCACCCCTTTTGGCTACATTTAGCGCCAGTCGAGTAGGAGAATAAATTCACGAGATGAATCCTTCAGCATGGGAGTCGATGGAACCCTTGAAAGGCAGACCCAGGAAACCCAGGGAACGAACGGCACCTCGTTTTCTCAAATCGATTCCGTCGTTCCAGAAGGACTCCGGATCAGCCTCTCGTCTATCTTAGCTCGAAACGAGAATAATCTGATTCCTAGAGGAGCCTTCTCGCATCTTCGAATGTATCGGAACGTCGAGCAGGAAAATTGGCTGACTCGAGGAAACGTTGGATTTTCGGCACAAATAGGGAACACGAGTCGTGAAAGAGTCGCATTTCGCGGTTCTCGAATCGCTATCGCGGAATCGGTACGGCGCGGAAGATGAAGAAGGCAGGTGAACCCGGTTTTCCCGACAGGTGAACCTGGTGTTCCTGGTCCTGGGCCTGCAACGTGCATCCCTGGCGGCAAAGACGAAGAAGGGACGAAGCAACGATCAGACCATCACCTGGGTCAAAGGTTCCGCCTCCCTCGCCACTCTCCTCGGGGTCACCTGGATTTTCGGATTCCTTTACGTGGAGAAGGTCACCTACATCATCTTCGGAGTGCTCTTCGTCTTCTTCAATTCTTTCCAGGGGGCCTTCCTATTCCTCTTCCACGTCGCCCTGAACGAGCGGGTCCGGCGGGAGTCGCTCCGATCTCTGACGCTCTCTTGCGTGAGTCACCCAGCGTCTCGGACGCTTTTAAGTAGAACTCCGCTCCCCTCCCTCGTAAGACCTCGAGTAACCGATTGAAATTTTATGCGAGAGCACAGGCCGTCGGAACGGCTCGCTACGATGGACACATCGGAGCGAGCCGTTTCAACGGCCGAGGGAGAGTGTGCGAGGTTTCGGCGGAAATTAAAGATGTGGATACGATGTGGGGTGCAGCCGGGATTGAAGAAGATACCGTGGTTGGGACCCAAGTTGGCGGAGACGGTCGTATTCCCGCGTTCCAAGACGTTTACCACCACCCTGGAGCGAGACCGACGTGCCTCTACAGTGGATCGCGACTTCGCCACTTCTACCAAACGAGGTCTTTCCACTCTCTCCATCCGTCTCCCTTTCCCCATTGCGGTTCGACTGAACACGCGTCATCCTTTTTTTTTCTCTTTCCCCTCCAGTGTCCGTGGACAGCAGCACCTTCTGATCGTCAACCTAACCGATTGCAGTCGCGGAGGGAAATAAAATAAAATGTTTCCCGGTTCGGTCTACCGTAATTTCGATGCTCCGAAGCGTAGGGTCTCTTGTACGGGCCCGTCGACGAACCAGGGAGAAGGATCTCCGTCCGTTGGAGACCTTCACTCGATCGGCACAAGATGCGTGTCGTCGCGCGTGGGGATCAGAGTTCCTTTGTCTGAACTGTAGGAAATATTAATTTTCGATTGCGACTACTTAAGATCCCAATGAAGCCGACGAGGGAACGAGATCTTCGAGTGGCCCCTTTCCATGGGACGATCTGCTTCCCACTCTTTCCCTCGCATAGGACGGTCTTCCTTCCCGACGCCACGAAGAGGACGCGCACACGTCGAGCGATCTTACATTGCCGTAGGACCGAGAAAGGATCGTCGCATCGAAATTCCAGGCTTGAGTCGCTCGGTCTAACTCGACGTCCAATCTACATACGCGGGTGTCGACCATCAAAGGCAGAGGAGGCCGAGGCTATCGATATAACATACGGATTCGAGTTACACGACATGCGGGTAAAGAAGCGTGGACGAAAGAGTGTTTTACAAGTACTTTACGAAAAAGAAGCCTGTCAAAAAGAGGGAGCAATTAAACCGTGGAGAAAATGGCTCCTGGCAAAAAAGGTGCCGGTCAGAGCGCGTGCAAAAAAGGCGCTTGTGAAAATAGTGTTTGGAAACAAAACAGTTTTAAAACACACAAACAAAACACAAATTGGGCCAAGTATCATCGCATTGTGTAAATTACATACAAAGGTTCGTTCGCGGTC